GCCGGTTGCATTCCCTTTTCATTTAGGGACACATTGACCCCTAGGAGTAACACCATGTCACAACCTTCCCAGAGGAATTCTTGGCTGCCATTGGCCTTCCTTATCCTGGCAACATTACCACACTTTTTATAAAAGTGAAGGGACTGGGATGGAGCCAGGTAGCTGCGAAAGCCCTTTCTTCTTCTTTTTAGTTGGTCCTAGCTCAAAACGAGCTACTCATCCTTGAGTAGAGGCAGCTATGAACTAATCTCCTGCTGAAGACTTGTGCCACCCCTAGCAGGAAAAGACAGGAGGCAGTCAGGTGGTTGGGGTGGGGGGTTCACAAAATGTTTGGAGGCAGGGAAGCAGATAGGAACACTGGGGGATGGATGAATAGGGTGGGGAAGCGTTCATGCCTCACTGTGTTCTCAATGATGTCATTAGGAGCATGGCGAGAGCACAAAGTATCAAAATGGGTTGCAGCATAAAAATGATTATTTCTGATAGCCTTAGGAAGCTTGGTCACTATTAGCTACCAACAAATTGCAGGTGGGAGACTGAGTCGTGACTGCTTGCCTAAACTAGGAGTGGACAAATCTATCATTTTGGGGTTCCCCTACCCTCTTATTTTTACAGTCTTAAGTTCATTTCACTTCTCTGCTGCATCTGTTTTTAAACTTTTTTTTTTGTTAAGTCTCCATGAAAATTTGTACACATTTTTATATGCATTTCTGGTTATTTATAATACACAATTCTGCGAGTACATTTCCCAGTCGTAATGCATTCTCTGCACATTATTTTCTTTTATACACAATTTGTGTACACTTTCCCCTAATATATGATTTTTGTGAATTAGGTAGGTCCACATTAAAATGCAAATGGAAGAAATTTCTCTACCATCCTTATCCTAAGTGATTTCAAGGAAGCAGCAACCTGGGATTTTGCAGCCCCGTCTCTTAGTCACTCTGTCACTCTCTAATGGAGATATTCCTAAATATAAAACAATACAGTGCTATGGAACAGGCCCAAAGAGAATCTTTCCCTCTCCATTTTGGAATGTTGACAATGGCCTCCATTGTATTCTACCTTATTCTGCTAGTTTTTCTGCACTGTGAGATCTATATTAAGGTAGGCAGGTTGTTCCAGATCTGGGCTGCAGTGCGGTGATTCTTCTAGAGAGTAGGTTTTAAATACTGTTTGTAACCAGCAAAGAAAAGGCTGTCAGATTGATTTTCTGTTCAACTTTTCTGCGACTGCTGTAGGAGCGTTTGGTCAGTAGATGGAGCAGCAGGTCACAAACTTGTCAGTTTTCCCATGTGGCATCTTTTGCGATGACCGATGCTCAGAATAAAAGAGTATTCACTTATTCCAGGTTTTATTTCCCCTCTCACCCCTGTTCACTCATTAGTGCCTTGTTTATGGAAGAGGCCCATTTCTGCAGAGAGATCTACATATACCCAGCAAGCAATTATTCCCACAAGACTGAATATTCAGTGTTGTTAAAATTTAGAAATATTGAATATTTATAAACGAGGAAGTAGTTGGCATGCGGGGGGGGGGACACAGGCAACAAACAACTGCAGGTCTTTTAACAATACCTATTGCACTCTTTGTGAAAAAGGTTTGTTTCTGGAAGCTCATCTGACTTGATGACTTCAAGGTGGGTTTTTTTTGGGGGGGGGGGTCCTGTTCGTTGGCCAAGACATATCCAGATTAGTTCCTTTAAATCCATCATGTTCTTGATAGTTCCAGCTGGTCAGTCTGTATAGCTGTGCTGCTTAGTATACTATCGTGAATAGTGTTCTAGAAAGATGCTTATTTGGCACTCCCTGGTTGATTAAATCTTAAAGTACATGAAAAGGCTCTTATGCTAATCTCTAACATGAAATCAAGAGCTAGCAAGTCGCTCTAGTAATTAAGGACCAAACACATCAATTAGTATCTACTAAAACTCAGCTTCTGTACAGTTTTAATTACGTGTTGCCCATGTGCCTGGTTTCCTTTTGTGTTAAAGGATGCCTGTGTTATCTTCACCGAAGTCTGTGATGATACAGTAGGAACATCTTGTTTATACTATCATTTTATCCTAGGATAACAGCTCCTGCACTCATTTTAACTTCTGGTTTTTGTTGTTGTCATCCCCGACCCCTGCCCCACATCTAGTGGAATAATTCTGAAGCTGGAATGAATAGAATGTAAATGTCCTCTTGCAAAATTAGGGCTCACTTAACTTTGTCTGTGTTTCATCCCTGTAGAAGTTATTGCGAAAACAATATCAGAACTCTTCTCTGAGATTGTGTTTGCCATTACCTAGGGTGTGCGCAGGAGTTCTTCGTGGTGGAATTTCAATCATGAGAAGCGGGTAGTGGGGTTCTCTCTTTCGTTCAGCTTGCATGGACATCAGTAGCAGTGTGTGTGATGGTTTGGAGCCACCCTCCTGACACCAGCATCAGTGATGCAAACCTGGATGGGGCACTGGCTTGGCAGTGGTCCCACTGGTGCACCCCCTTGGCCGCAACTTTGCTACTTTCCTGCCCTATCCAGGGAACCAGCAGTGATGTTGGTGCTGGGAGGGTACCTCCACCCCACATCCCATTACTGATGCACATACACTATTTCTGAACATTCAGATTAGTGCCTGGAGATCAAGAGTTGAAACACACATTCATAGAATAACAACAACAACAACAACACTTTTTTGTTTATACCCCACCCATCTGGCTGGGTTTCCCCAGGCACTCTGGGCGGCTTCCAACGAAAGATTACAAATACATTAAAACACCAGTCATTAATAACTTCCCTAAACAGGGCTGCCTTCAGATATCTTCTAAACGTCAGATAGTTGTTTATGTCATTGACATCTGTTGGGAGGGCATTCCACAAAGCGGGTGCCACTTCCAAGAAGGCCCTCTGCCTGGTTCCCTGTATCTTCATTTCTCACAGTGAGGGAACTGCCAGAAGGCCCTCGGAGCTGGACTTCAGTGTCCGGGTTGGACGATAGGGGTGGAGATGCTCCTTCAGGTATACTGGGCCAAGGCCATTTAGGGCTTTAAAGGTCAGCACCAACACTTTGAACTGTGCTCGGAAACATACTGGGAGCCAATGTAGGTCTTTCAAGACCTGTTATGTGGTCTCAGCAGCCGCTCCCAGTCACCCAGTCACTGCCGCATTCTGGATTAGTTGTAGTTTTCGGGTCACCTTCAAAGGTAGTCCCATGTAGAGCATGTTGCAGTAGTCCAAGCAGTAGTCCAAGTAGTCCAAGTGGGAAATGTCTAAAGCATGCACCACTCTGGTGAGACAGTCCGTGGGCAGGTAGGGTCTCAGCCTGCGTACTAAATGGAGCTCGTAGTATACCTTCACAGGGCAACATTTTCATCAATGACGCATTAATGTTGGATAGCTCAGTTGGTAGAGCATGAGACTCTTAATCTCAGAGTTGTAGGTTCAAGCCCCATGTTGGGCAAAAGAGATTCCTGCATTGCAGGGGGTTGAACTAGATAGCCATCGTGGTGCCTTCCAACTTTACATTTCTATGATTCTACTTTGAATATTGACTTATTCCTGCATGCTGAGCTGAGGTGGTGCCTTCTCAAAGCCTGGTAAGTGAGACACTGGGCTTTGGGAAGGAGACGTGAGGCTCTGACAGGGTCCTAGAGTCCTGTCTTCTCCTTCCCAAAGCCTAGTTAGTACTTTCCCAGCTTTGGGGAGGATGGGGGGCTCTAAGACCCTGCCAGAGCCTTCACGCCTCCTTTGCGAAGCTGGACACCTCCTTACTCACCTTTGGGCAGGGGGAAGGGGGACCAAATTTTGGCCTCTCACAGGGCACCATAGGCCCCACGTCCATCACTGACTCCACTCTGCTCTGCTCATTTTATACACATTTCTTGAAACTGACATTAGCTTGGAATTGTAGATCTCTTTCACTCAGCACATATGCCTTTGCCCAGCTCGTTTCCTGCCTGCCTAGTTACCCAGAAACTCATTATAAGAATCCTACAAAAGAGGATGCGGGTAGATGTGATCTATACAGGTAGCTGAATCATCAAGGAATTGCTTGAGCATGTGAAACAGCCATCCTAAATGTGGAGCCCTCATAACAACTTGCATCTTCTTAGACACAATGGAGGCAGTTCATGCTGTTTAAGCTATAGGTCACATATGAACATTCTTGAACATCCTATCCCATGTCTGTAGGTGGTGGTCTTGATTCTAATAGTAATTGTGGCAACTCTACTTTATCCTGTAATTTTCTTCTGTTTCATTCATTCCTGCCACTTCTCTATTCCTAGATTCTGTAGTAAAAATTTATAGCAGGTATAAGGTGTCATTTTCATGTGCGCCTTATTAGAAAATCTTGTTAATGAATGACACTTGGAAGCTGACTGCAAAACTCTCTCCATAAACATTAATTCTTCTTTTTCTTTTTTTAAATGTGAACATTACACCTAGTAATATATGTATTTGTCTCCAATAAATATTTATATAGATTTGGAAGTGCACTTCGTTATTGAAGTCTCTGCCCACTCCTTCCAGATGCAAAGCATTCTGGAGCCTGAGCCAGATATTACTTAGATATTAAGTATTTGTCTGGAGCCATGCCCAATTAATCACTGCATGAATGGCTACTGGATGAATTATGCTCATGTAGCAGTATGGAATGATCCAGCCAACTGATTACCATAGACACATGGGAAGCTGTCTTCTACTGAGTTCTGGTCAATGGTCTATGTAGCTCAGCATTGCACTGACGCAATGGCTCTCCCGGCCACTCCAGGCAGGGTGCTCTCCCAACCATGCCTGGAAATGCTAGGTATTGGACCTGGGGACTTCTGCAGGCGATGCGGACGCTCTACCACTGAGCTATAAGCTTCAAACAACCACAGCCCTTCCTCATACTGGAAGCTGGGAATAGAATCTCCTCTCCCCATGCCAGAATGGCAGTGGTTCTGGATGTAAAACCTTGCGACACACTGTGTTCCTCCTGATTCGTCTGGTGCTGATGTTGGAAGGATTAAAAGGCCCATAGCTCAGTGGTAAAAGCATCTACCTTGGAAGCAGAAGGTCCTGGGTTCAATATCATCACCTCCCAAAGGATATTGTACTGCTGGAAGAAGTTCAGAAAAGGGAAACCAGAATGATCACCTCCAAGGAAGGAGAGTCCACAACCTCCCGAGGGAGACCGTTCCACTGTCAGAACAGCTCATACCACCAGAAGGTTCTTCCTGGTGTTTAGTTGGAATCTCCTTTCTTACAACTTGAAGCCATTGGTTCGAGTCCTACCTTCTGGAACAGGAGAAAGCAAGCATGCTCCATCATCCATGTGACAGCCCTTGAGATATTTGAAGATGGGTATCATATCTTGGACACGGGTGGCGCTCTGGGTAAAACCTCAGTGCCTAGGACTTGCCGATCGTATGGTCGGCGGTTCCAATCCCCGCGGCGGGGTGAGCTCCCGTCGTTCGGTCACAGCTCCTGCCCACCTAGCAGTTCAAAAGCACCCTTAAGTGTAAGTAGATAAATAGGTACCGCTTTATAGCGGGAAGGTAAACGGCATTTCCGTGTGCTGCACTGTTGCAGGCTCGCTAGAGCAGCTTCGTCATGCTGGCCACGTGACCCGGAAGTGTCTTCGGACAGCACTGGCCCCCGGCCTCTTAAGCGAGATGGGCGCGCAACCCCAGAGTCGGTCACGACTGGCCCGTACGGGCAGGGGTACCTTTACCTTTATCATATCTCCACTCAGTCTTCTCTTTTCCAGGCTAAACATACCCAGCTCCTTCGACTGTTCCTCATAAGGCTTGGCTTCGAGAAGTTTATAAAATTATGTGTGGCATGGAGAAAGCTGATAGAGTAAAGTTGTTCTCCTTATCTTACAACTCTAGTATCTGAACACTGGCAGATTAAGGGAAGATAAGAGAAAGTACTTTTTCACACGGTGCATAGTTAAACTGTGGCACTCACTTACCAGAGGTAGTGATGGCCGCCAACATAGATGGCTTTAAATAGAATTAGACAAATTCATGGAGGAGAGGGTTTTTAGTAGCTACTATCCATGATGACTATGTTCTATCTCCAGAGGCAGTATGTGTGTGAATACCAGTTGCTCGGAATCACAGATGCTCTTGGGACCATGTGCTGCTTGCAGGCTTGCCAAAGGTACCTGGTCGGCCACTACGAAAACAGGATGCTAGACTCAAAGAGACATTGGCCTGATTGAGCAGGCTCTTCCCATGCCCTTATGTTGTTCTCATACATGACATCTCCAGGGAGGCTGGGGAGAGTTCCCTGCCTGAAACCCTGGAATGCTAGATGGTGATCTTGAGCTAGATGGACCAGGCAGCTTCTTACGTTCCCGTGACCTTGTCTCAGAGTTGGGAACTGAAAAAATGGCCTTTACTCTGATCAATCTCTGCAGTTCTGTGATTGCCAGTAGCAGCTGTTGCCTCCAAACCATGGCAGGTGTTGCCTCCAATTAGCTCTGCTTGCAGGGATTTATGGAGGTGGGGAAAGAGGAGTGAGGTCCTTAATCATGTGTAAGACAGCCACCATGGTGGAATTCTCTTCAAACCTTCTGTGATCCATTATATTAGCTAGAGGCCTTTCCAAACTCCTTCCTCTGTCTTAATGCCATGATGCGATTATAATGAATGTTTCATGGATGGACAGAGAAGATACTTCCCTCATTAGAACAGTGGGTTTCAAGTACACGGCTTTTTGTATTTCTTGTGATGTGGAATCTGCTAGGCTGAGATTGATCTGCAACATTTGAAGTCTGAAGCCGTTGTGGAGCCAACTTTGACAAATAAAAATACCGTTTGTTGGGGCTAAGCCATGTAATAAATCCAACTTTTCAGTTGCAGGGACTTCATCATATGTGTGCAAACCCAAATTTTATAAATATAAGTAACTTGGGTTGGGTTTTTATCGGCTGAGTTAACTGCACTTAATAAAAAGGAAGCAGGGATTACCATTTGGCTTTGGTTAAGCCAGGGGTGGGAATGCTCTGGCTCTCTGGATGTTGTTGAACTTCATCTCCCATCTGCCCCAGGGGATCATGGGAATTGTAGTTCAACATACAGAGCGCCAACCCCTGGCTTAATCCTTTATCCTCTCTTTGGAGCACATAATTTACCAAGTTCTGCATTTGTTCATTTGCTTTCGCACTGAATATTAATGCCTGGGGGGGGGATCTATCTGGCTGGGTCTCAAAGTATTTTTTAAATGGTCCAATAAAGGTACTGTTCATCATTTCTCTTCCTCTCTGTTTCTTGTTCTATTGAACCAACACATCTACCCAAACTGTGATCTGTTAGAAAAAGGATAGCAGGTCACCGGCTTTGTGTTGTACATCCTAGACTTAAATGATGCAATCTTCTAGCTTCAGTCTTAATACTGGAAAACAATTCCTTGTTCTTTCGGATAGCACAAACAATGTGGTTGCGACATTACCAAGTGGAAGCAAATTGGATCCACTGGGGCACACTGACGAAGTCTTTAAAAAATGCAGCGGACCAGTGAAACTCTCTCACAGCATGCTGTCTCTTCTGCATCACCAGTTTTAGGAATTTATTTGTCCAAATGTATTCACAGATAACACCAATAACGGGCTTCAGGCAAATGGGAAACAAAAAGTGGTTGAGCCAGCCTATGCAAGAGTGGCAAACCATGGCAGGAATAAACTTTCCAGTTCAGACAGAAATGACATGCTAAATCCATTATGAAGATCGGCAGAGCAACTCATGGCCTACATGAAGCATAGAGTTTGGCATGCTTAATCCCATGGAAATCAACCATGAGCCTGGTCATGGAGGTATTGAGGTGAACTCACTGGGTACATGGGGATGCACCTATTCAAAACATCTCCAATTCATGCTAGGTGTGTTCAGAGGAACTGAAGTGCAGACTGAATCTAATGGGATGGGATGTGATGGAAAATGGGGTGGTGGTAGAATCTAACACAGCATCCTGGAAGAGTGCAAAGCTGGCTGAGTGAACAGTGACCATGAGCACTCCGCGCTTCAACATTTTGTTGCGGCAGACACACCTATATTATATTATCACATTTTCTTTTGCTTTCCATTATGGAAGGAAAGGGACTGGAACGTAAAACCTAGACAAAGAAGGAAAGAACGCTAATGAGGAAAAACACTGGGGGAGGGTGATGAGAAATATTAGGGCAAGGAGTGCAAGTAAATAGGACAGAATTAAGCTTCTTAATCACTTTTAATTTTATAGCTATAAAATCTAATGGTTAATTTCTCTGGCTTTTTTATTCTCTAAGCTCCTTAATTACTTAAATTACCTTGATTGTGAGTCCCTTGGGGAGACGTGTGTGTGTCTGTGTCTCTGTGTGAGGTGGGATACTGTAATCCACTCTGAGCCCATGGGATAGGGCAGGCTATAAATCTAATAAAATTATGCAGATCAAAGGGATTGCCCAGATGTACTTTCTGTGTAGAATTTTGTTTGCGTGATTCAGGTTTTCAAGGAATGTGGGTTGTCTGTGCGTATGGAAGGACTGGTTGAAAGGGCAGAAAGATGCGTTGGGAAGGAAATGGAATTAAGAAAGGACATAAAGTTTCATCATAAACTCAGTGGGACTCACTTATGAGTAGATTTGTATAGAACTGCATGCTAAATATCCACCCTTTGGCTACAGTAAGTCTTGTGAATCTACAAGGGGTGCCATCTTGAATGAAATATTGGGGGGACTCTGAAGAAGAAGAAGAAGAAGAAGCAGCCCCACATAATCAATCACAAGATATGACAAATGTACACTATTTCAAAGGCAATGCCCATCAACTTGGCGGATGGGCTGCCTCCCTTAAATATTTTATTGGGGAGGTGAAAGGACCTTGGCCCTTAGGAGTTGGCACCTATGACCTATGCAATCCCCCATAAATTACTTCTGTTGCCATTCAGGAAATGTTTTGTGGTGAACAGTTTTATACTCCCTTACAGCTGATCATCACAGCATCCTGCTAAGCATCTATGAGGTGTTGGAGCTTTCTGTATATTTCCTAGAATGTAGTCCATAAAACCTAATGTGGGAGCCTCTCTCTATTTTTTTGAGGTAGCCATTTCAGCCAATCATTCCTCCAAATTAAAAAGCCATCACTTGTAATTTGACTCAATTAACAATTTTATAGGTGGCAATTAACTTTATTGTTAATTGATTCCTCATGAACAAAATGCTAAAGGGAAATATGCACAGAGTTTTATATTTAAAGTGCTAAGGAAAAGTACGCAGATTTTACGTTTATGCCAATTGTGGAGAGTATTTTAATGCCAGGTTCGCTATGTGTATGTGTGTGTGTGTGTGTGTGTGTGTGTGTAAAACATTATTTGTTTCAGGATACAAATATTTAATGGCTGCCACACAATCCATTCAGCAATAGATAATAACACCCTTTGTTTGTGAAATCACAACAGTCATGTCTGTGGTGCTTCGGAAAATGAAACAAATTCCAGCTGTAAAAGACAATTATCTAAAAATAAGAACGAGAAAAACAAGGAGAGGAAAAGAGAGAGAAAGCAGATGGGCAAGATTTAAGCCCATAACCTCCAACATTTATCCGATGAAAATATGGGCATCCTATTCCACACCCTTCAGCATTTCTCTGATGAAAATAGACATCCTAAAGCCAGGCATGGGGAAAGATGTTCATGGGGGAAAATATTGATTGACTACAGTTCCCATCACTCCTAGGGGAGCAGGTGACACTGTGGTCTAAACCACTGAGCCTCTTGGGCTTGCCAATTGGAAGGTCAGCGGTTTGAATCCCTATGACGTGGTGAGCTCCTGTTGCTCTGTCCGAGCTCCTGCCAACCTAGCATGTCAGTGCAAGTAGATAAATAGGTACCTCTGCGGTAAATGGTGTTTCTTTGTGCTCTGGTGCTCATCACGGTCCTCTCTGTGCCAGAAGCGGTTTAGTCCTGCTGACCACATGACCCGGAAAACTGTCTGTGGACAAATGCCGACTCCCGCGGCATGAAAGCAAGATGAGCGCCACAACCCCATAGTCGCCTTTGACTGGACTTAACTGTCCAGGGGTACTTTACCTTTACCTTTTTTACTGCCCATCACTCCTGACAATAAGTTG